AAATAAATAAAATTATTTGCTATGCTACTATGCCAGTTGTTTTTCATCATGTGTATGTAGATATATCAGTCTTTGTCCTTGAGCCATTCTATTACCTATTTTATAAAGACCTTTTTTAATTACTTATTTTCTTAGGTAGTTTGCATAATGAAATAATTATATTAATATATTGTCGTTTTTTTCTGTTCTCAAACATAATTTATTTTCATTTTACTTTTCAGAGATATATCGATATGACTGTTTCTTAGAGATGATTGAGTAAAAAGCTCTTAAGAAGTTTTTGATATTTTCATGCAGCCCTCAGTGCTACCACGTTTCTCTCTCTCTTTCTCTCTCTGCCTCTCTCTCTTTCTCTCTCTCTAAGACTTACTTATTTGAAAAGCAGAGAGACCAGGGAAGGGAAGTAGTACAAAGATCTTCCATCTGCTGATTTACTACCCAGATTTCCACAAAAGGATCTGGACCAGGCCAAAGTGAGGAGCCAGGAACTTCATCCTGATATCCCACAAGAGTAGCAGAGCCCCAAGTACTTAGGTCACCTTCTGTTGCTTTCCCAGATACATCAGCAGGGAGCTGAGTCAGAAGCTGAGCAACCAGTACTCGAATTGGTACTAAGATATGGGGTGCTGGACACAGTGCTGCCCAGTTTGTTTGTTTGTTTTTTAGAGATTTATTTTTTTATTTACTTAGAAGAAAAAGTTACAGAGAAAAGGAAGATAGAAATAGAAGAGGAAGATAGAGATAGCCTGTGCTGGGCCAGGCTGAAGCTAGGATCTTCTTCTGTATCTCACACTTGGGTGCAGGAGCCCACTTAGGCCACCTTCTGCTGCTTCCACAAGTGCATTAGCAGGGAACTTGATCAGAAGTGAAGCACCTGTGTCTCAAACAGGCACCCATATGGAATATGGCATCACAAGCCGTGGCTTAATCCACTGTGCCACAAAGCTGACCCCCATTTTTTTTTTAAGATTTTATTTTTTGAAAGTCAGAGTTAACAGATAGAGAGCTTCCATTTGCTAGTTCACTTCCCAAATGGGTGCAGCAGCCAGGAGTGTGCACTGTTGAAACCAGGAGCCAGGAGCTTCTTCTAGGTCTCCTACATGGGTGGCAGGGACCCAAACACTTGGCCTTTTCCACTGCATTTCCCAGGCCATTAGCAGGAAGCTGATTGGAAGTGGAACAGTGATACATGAACTGGCACCTATATGGTCACAGTCAATGACTTTATCCACTAAGCCACGGTGCCAGCCCCTACCCAGTTTCTTTTTTTTATTTATTTTGTTTTTTGACAGCAGAGTGGACAGCGAGAGAGAGAGACAGAGAGAAAGGTCTTCTTTTGCCGTTGGTTCACCCTCCAATGGCCGCCGTGGCTGGTGCGCTGCGGCCGGCGCACCATGCTGAACCACGCTGATCCGATGGCAGGAGCCAGGTGCTTCTCCTGGTCTCCCATGTGGGTGCAGGGCCCAAGCACTTGGGCCATCCTCCACTGCACTCCTGGGCCACAGCAGAGAGCTGGCCTGGAAGAGGGGCAACCGGGACAGAATCCGGCACCCCGACCGGGACTAGAACCCTGTGTGCCGGTGCCACTAGGTGGAGGATTAGCCTAGTTAGCTGTGGCGCCGGCCTTCCTACCCAGTTTCTTAAGAGTGGCATATGACCTACTTCTATTTTACCAGTGTGACAATCCTTCAGTGTTCTTTCTTTTGTTCAGGGAGTTGAGCTCTACCTTCCTAAGTGTGTAGACACTGCTGTCTATACTCACCTATATGCATAGACATGGTTCTAATATCTGTTTGGGTGGGGCTGTCTGTCTTAATACCACTCTGACTTTAAGTTTCTTCTATGTTGATAGCACCTTGTGATTTCCCTTTCTTGCTTTTAGCTTGGCTGGTTTTTTTTTTAATGGTAGTTGTTGGTGTTACTTTTACCCAGCTTTTCTGTCTTGGATGCAAGACAGGTTTCCTTGTGTTTTTGCTATGTAAATACCAACTGAATATCACTGTGATAGTATTTCACTACTTCATGAAAAACTGGCCTATGATTTTTTTTTCCATAATAAAAATTTGTGGATCAGGCAAAAAATAATCTAAAAGTTGAAGACCTGATTAATTAGGATTTTCACAAAGATGTCTAATGTATTAATATTCTTTTCAGGGAGAATTTATAGTTTTTCATTTTAATAAGATTTTTATTTTCCTTCCCATTTTGGTGATGGAAACTAAATGTGTTTGCCCACTGAGTTCTTTAAATTAAGCACAACAGCAGGTGTGTGTATTACATGATAATTAGTGCTGGGGGGAAAATATAATGGAATAAGGGGAATATGTGGTGATATGGTGGAGGAAGCTGAGTGTTGTTATTCAGATAGGATGGTTAGGAGATATGTCAGACAAAGTGAAATTTACAAGAAGTGAGAGAGAAAACCATGGCAATATTTGGGAGAACTACTTTCTTTTCTTTTTTTTCAAGATATATTTATTTATTTGAAAGAGTTACAGAGAAGGAGAGGCGGAGAGAGAAAGGGAGGGAGAGAGGGAGGGAGGGAGGGAGAGGGAGAGAGCAAGCGAGCTTTCATCTGGGTCACGCCTCAGATGGCCTCAACTGCCAGGCCAAAGCCAGGAGCTCCCATGTGGATGCAGGGGCCCAAGGACATGGCCATTTTCTCAGGTGCATTAGCAGGGAGCTGGATTAGAAGTAGAACAGCCGAGACTTGAACCTGGGCCCAGATGAGATGCTGGTGCCACAGGCAGTGGCTTTACCCACTATGCCACAGTGCTGGCCCCAAGGGAGAACCACTTTTTCTATGAAAAGAATATAATGAAGGCTTTGAGGTGGGAGTGTGCTTAGAATGTGTAAGGAACAATTGAAAAATCAATTTAGTTGGGATGGAATGGACATGGGAATAATTGGAAATAAAGTTTATGAGATTTTTGTGGGAGTGGGAAGTATATATGGAAATATATGTGGTCATACAGTGTGAGTCCTTTGTCTTTTGCCCTAAGACAGAAACCACTGGAGTTTTCAGCAGTGGAGTAACATGAGATGTTTTTTACTTTGTTTTGTTTTAAATATGATCACTTTGTGTCTTTTATTTAAGATTTATTTATTTATTTGAAAGGCAGAGTTACAGAGAGAGACAAAGAGAAAGAAATCTTCCATCTGCTGGTTCACTCCCCAAATGGCCGCAAGGACTGGAGCTGTGCTGATCCAAAGCCAAGAGCCAGGATCTTCTTCTTGGTCTCCCACATGGGTATGGGGGCCCAAACACTTGGGCCATCTTCTACTGCTTTCCCACGCACATTAGCAGGGAGCTGGATCAGAAGTGGAGCAGCGGGAACTCAAACCAGTGTCCATTATGGGATGCCAGCACTGCAAGCAATGGCTTTACCCACTCTGCCACAGTGCCAGCCCCTCACTTGGTATCTTGTGGAAATTAAGCAGACCAGAGTCCAATTAAAGTACATGAGTAGTCTGGTTTGGGGGGATGGTGATTTAGATCATGATGAAGCAGTAAGGTGATGATTTTTATTTACAATTCTGCTTGTATTTTGAATGTGCAATTGATAGAATCTTTTCTACATTATGAGCTGAAACTGAAAAAGCAGAGGAAGGATGACTAAAGTGTTAGGCCTGATTTAGTTGAAGAATGGAATTTCTATTAGCTAAGTTCATTACGATTAATGGAGAAGGAATGTTGAGGATTGGATATTAAAAGTTTAATTAGGAGGATTCTAATAGTCATAAGACTGGAGTTCTCAACCATATCTTTTGATATGAAATCCTTGTTCTGGGGAAAGCACTTACCAGTTTGCAGGGGAAGATGCAGTCATCTATGGTATCTAAGTCGCCCCAAAACAGATGAGGAGAGTAAGCTACTCCAGTATTTATAGATGATGAAACAAAGAGGATTCAAAACAGGAGACTACGGAATGGCCTGGGAGGTAAGAGGATTATCTAAAGAGAGTAGTGTCCTGGAAGCCAATTGCTGAAAGTGACTCATGAAGGAAGGACAGCTCAGCTGTGTCAAATATACTGAAAAGTTATGTGGTTGACCTTTCATCACTGAGAAGAGATGACAACCTGGAGCTAGATCAATGATGCGGGTTCTGTGACGTTAAGAAAAATCACTCTAGTCAGGATGCTCAAAGGAATATACTCAGAAGGGGAAATTATGCAGAGGAGAATGATTAGAATTATTAGGGAAAGAGGGCCATTTATTATAGCAAAAAGATCAAAGAGATAGTAGTAAAGTTTGATGTCAAAAGACAAAAATTATAATTTATTATGTATTGTGCTAAGCAGAAGAGGTTGGTTTTTTATCAGAGAAGAGCTGGACAAAGCAGAAAAAACAAAGACTGGATTGGTCATCTTTCGGGCAGGCATTGTGGCTCAGTGGGTAAAGCTGCAGCTTGTGACGCTGGCATCACATATGAGCTCCCTGTTAATGTACCTGGGAAAGCAGCAGAGGATGGCTCAAATACATGGGCCCCTGCACTCACATGGGAGACCCGCGAGAAGCACCTGCTTTTGGCCTGGCAGTGGTGGCCATCTTGGGAGTAATCCAGTGGATGAAAGATTTCTCTGTCTCTCCCTCTCTCTCTGTAATTCTGCCTTTCAGATAAATCTTTTGGAAAAGAAAAGTTACTTTTCTTGAACTGTGGGGACAAGGTAACCGAACAATAGAAATATAGCTGGTTAACATCAGGTTACTTCAGGTTGGCTTGTAAAAACCAAAAGTAGGTAAAACTTTATTATCCTTCTAATTGGGTGCTCAGCTGTTTAGGACATTCGGTTCTCCCCTCTCCTGATTCTCCTGAGGTTATATAACAGCTGTTTTCAGTCTGGTGATCTGGAACTTTATTTGGGGCCTGGATAAGGGTCTTAGACTGAAACAGTAACATTCGGTAACAATGAATTGTTGTTAATGACAAGGCCTTTGGAAAAGATCAAAGGAATACCGTAGATTTTGGAATGCTCAACTATGTGGCTGTTTGAACTATTGGGTACCTGTGGTTTGTAAAAAAATAAACCCCAACACTGTGAATGGGCTGATGTTAATCTGATTTGGCTGTTTGATGTCTTTATATATTTTTATTTCTGAGTGATGTGTCTGATTATTGCATGGGGGCGTTGCGGGGGAGAAGCATTTTAACTAAAAGATCTACATGGCACCTCAGTTTAAGTGATTTTGATCTCAATTTTTTGTATTTTAGGTTTTATTGTTAATATTGACACATATTATAAAGGAACTTCACCTGAGTTGTACTATTTTTTTTCCCTAACATTAGCTTTGTTGTTATTTTTGGTTCTGAAAGTAGAAATTGTTGTCTTATACTATTCTTGAAAGATGTATCAATTTCAGGATCTCTTTCTAATTGCCTTTTCTAGTGTTGGATTTTTTTTATCACTATTCCCACAATCTGTTAACAGGTTAACATAAGGTTTATTGAACTTGAAAAAAAAGTATTTATTTTAAAGAGTTGCAGAAAGGGAGAGAGAGGTGGAGAGAAATGAGGTGGCCTTGTTGGCTGGCAGTGTTTTTTTATGTTGTTTTTTTGTTTGTTTTTTAAAGATTAATTAGAAAGTTATACACAAAGAGAGGGAGAGGCAGAGAGAGAGAGAGAGAGAGAGAGAAAGAGAGGTCTTCCATACACTGGTTCAGTCCCCAGGTGGCTGCAATGACCAGGACTGATCCAGGCTGAAGCCAGGAGCTTCATCTGGCTCTCTCACGTGGGTGGCAGGGACCCAAACACTTGGGCCATCTTCTGATGCTTTTCCTGAGCCACAGCAGGAAGCTGGATTGGAAGTGGAGCAGCCGGGACTCAAGCCAGTGCTCACGCTGGCATCACAGACAGTGGCTTAACCCACTGTGCCACAACATTGGCCCTAAAATGTCACTTCTTATTATAAATGGACTATGTTAATGTACTGATGAAATAATTTACAATTAGCATATGTATATTTTATGCAAATAGAGTTCTAAAGTATGCTTATTTTTTAAATCAGTTTGATTTCCAAATATATATTCCTTGCAGTATCAAATTGAAAATTTCAGGTTGTGCAGATTCCAAGTAAGATACATTTAAATGTGACTAAACATGTTTTCTTAATTTTAGGGTGAAAAGGTAAACTACGAAAAGTTTAGAAATTGGCTGCTTCTAAACAAAGATGCTTTTACCTTCTCACGTTGGCTGCTGTCTGGAGGTGTATATGTCACCCTCACTGATGATAGTGATACTCCCACTTTCTACCAAACTCTGGCAGGAGTCACGCATTGTAAGTAATGGCATTGCATTGTTTTCTGCTAATCTTTTAATATAATTACCTGGGAGTAATATGGGGGACATGCTTATCAATTTTTGTCAGTATTTTTTTCTTCCAGGGTATAATGAAATGAGATCCTGGAATATGGGAAACGTAGCCCTCCTGCAAATTGTCCCTACCCTACCTAGATTGGTTTCCTAGGGCTGCTGTAACAGATGACCACAATTCATAACCTAAAACAGGAGAGACTTAGTGCTTCAAAGCATGAGCCGTGGAATGAAAGCGTTAACAGGGTTGTGTTGCCTCCTGCCTCAGCCCTTTCAGCTTTTGCTAACCCCAAGCATTCCTTGGCAGGGGCAGCATAACTTTATTTTCTCCTTCCATATTCACATGGCCTCTCTAGTGTGTCTCAGTCTTACCTTCAACTTCTTACCTCATCAGATGATGTGCCCAAGCGAGATCACATGTGATGTCCCAGGTGATGATGAATTTTGGGTAGACAGGATTCAGACTTGAGTGTCATCTTTTATAGAGCTGCTTTCTGGTAGTTACAGAAACTGCCTGTACTCTGCTTTTGTGTATGCTGCCTCTTGACCTTAAAATGCCTCTCTGCTTCTCGTAAATCCTGGATGTCCTTGAAGATTTAGATCACATATGCCCTTTTTCCTTCTTCATGAGAACTTTTCTTGCCTTCCTGTTAGAGATCATCTGTCTTCCCTCTGAACTCTCATAACATCTTTATGCCCTTCTTCAATTAACTAAACACTTTCGTACTTCTGTTATGATTATTTGTAGCATTCTGTTTTTTGAATGTGTCTTCTCTCAGGTATTACTATTTTTTTTTGTTATTTTTTTTTATTTTTGACAGGCAGAGTGGACAGTGAGAGAGAGAGACAGAGAGAGAAAGGTCTTCCTTTGCCGTTGGTTCACCCTCCAATGGCCGCCGCTGCAGCTGGCGCACCGCGCTGATCTGATGGCAGGAGCCAGGAGCCAGGTGCTTCTCCTGGTCTCCCATGGGGTGCAGGGCCCAAGCACCTGGGCCATCCTCCACTGCACTCCCTGGCCATAGCAGAGAGCTGGCCTGGAAGAGGGGCAACCGGGACAGAATCCGGCGCCCCGACTGGGACTAGAACCCGGTGTGCCGGCGCCGCAAGGTGGAGGATTAGCCTATTGAGCCACGGCGCCGGCCCCAGGTATTACTATTCTTTACGTCTCCCCCTTTGCCAGGCCTAAGTGAGAAAGAGTTAACTGAGCAGAGGACCTTGGGTGTCAGATAATATTTGTGTCTGTTGCTTTGACTTTTTAACTTGGCTGCTAATTACACATTAGCTACTTTCTCCCATTTTCAATCTATAAGAGTACTTCAAAAAGTTCTTGGAGTGGCTAGCATTTTTTAAAATATTTTTTTTATTTTTTGACAAGCAGAGTGGACAGTGAGAGAGAGAAAGGTCTTCCTTTTGCTGTTGGTTCACCCTGCAATGGGCGCTGCAGCTGGCGCACCGCGCTGATCCGAAGCCAGGAGCCAGGTGCTTCTCCTGGTCTCCCATGCGGGTGCAGGGCCCAAGGACTTGGGCCATCCTCCACTGCCTTCCTGGGCCATAGAAGAGAGCTGGACTGGAAAAGGAGCAACCCGGACTAGAACCTGGCGCCCATATGGGGTGCTGGCGCCGCAGGTGGAGGATTAACTAAGTGAGCCACGGTGCCGGCCCCCAGCTCTGCTGTTAAGCTTGTTTTATGCAAAATTTTGAAATCCAAGTATAGTTTATCATAATACACTTTTCATGAAGTTTTAGAAGGCCCTCCATATGCCGGTTCTGAAGTGGAGTATCTGAAACTCAAATGGGTACTGCAATATGGGATGCTATGGGATGGTGGTTGTCGCTCCCCCTCTTCGTGGAGGAGCAACACAGGACCCTGCGCTGTTCTTTCTTCTGCTGCTCGGCCCTCCCCGGGTTTGCTGCTGGTTCTTCCCGGGTTGGCTACTGTCCCTTCCACCTCCGTGGAAGGGCGGTTCCCCCGGCCGCTTTCCCCACTTCTGCAGGGGAGCGGCACACCGCCGGCCGGCTCTTCTCGGGGGCTGCACAGGTGTTCCTTCAGCTAGATGTTCCCCATAGATGTTCCTCGTGCATGCCGTCTCTCTCCTCCTTTATAGTCCTCCTCCGCCAATCCCAACTCGGCTGCCCACACGCCGAGTACGCTGCTCTCCAATCAGGAGCAGGTCCTACAGTTTATTGGTTGAACTGGAGGCAGCTGTGCGGAAGCTGTTTACTTCTCTCCCAGCGCCATATTGTGGGAGAGCAGATGCATAGAATAAGTCTTAATTCCAGTAACTTAGTCTAGTCCGAGCTGCTCCCCACAGATCCCCCTTTCTTTTTATTTTTTTGGCGTTGATACGCGCCTGTCTTCGGTGTCCCGCAGCACACACTCTGCTCTACTTGCTAGAGTTGCCACAGGTTCTTACAAGTCCTATCAATGAGGCAAACCGAATCCGGGTCCTCTCTTCGCCATGTTGTGAGGAGGTTTTTAGGCGCTGATGCGTGCCTGTGTTCGGTGCCCTGCAGCGCATGCTTTGCTCTGCCTGCAGGGGCTTACAAGCTCTATCAGGCAAACCGAATCCAAGCCTTCTCATTGCCTTATTGTGGGGGAGACTTATTAGTGTTGGTTCGTGCCTATCTTCGGTGACCTGCAGCTCATACTCTGGTCGAGCTGCTTGCTGGCGCTTACCGCCTTAAATCAGGCAGACCGAATCCAAGCTTAATATTGTTGTATTGTGGGGAAGCCTTACTGATGTTAATTCGTGCCTGTCTTCGGTGACCTGCGGCGCATAAGCTGCTAGCTGCCCGCAGGTGCTCATCGCCTCACTTGATTAGGCAGACCGAATCCAAGCTCTCACATTGCAGTGTTGTAGGGAGGCCTTTTTATTTCTCTATTTCTCTATCTCCGGGCATTCCTATTTCTCCCATTTTACTTCTATCTTCCAGCATTCCTATTTTTCTCACTTTACTTCTAAACTTCTGTTTCTCTTATCCCTGCGGCTTCCCGCTCTCATTCTTATCCCCGCGGCTTCCCGGCGGCGCTCGCCCCGCAGCAGCTTCTCGGCACCTCGCCCCGCCCCGCGGCAGCTTCACGGCTCCGCGCGGCCTCCCGGCGCCTCGCCCCGCCGGCGCCCGCCCCGCGGCGGCTTCACAGCTCTGCGCGCACGCTCCGCGGTCTCCACGCACTTCGCGCCCGCACCACGGCCTCGCGCCAACGCCCCGTGCTCTCTGCACGCGGCGGCTTCCGCGAATGTTTCCGCCACCACCGGCATTCAGTCCAAGTTCCCCGGACTAACCTGGCGAATTCTGGCGGCCCACGTCTCTGCCTCTGGTTCCAGATCTTCGCCTCTTGCTCCCCAGGGTGACTTGAAGAATTCCAAGATGGCTTGGCCTGCACTCGCGGCTTCATCCTCCCTAACATTTTTCTCTACCCGGTGTGTTTCCCTAAGTTTTCTTCCAACAATATTCCTCCCTCATTTCTCCTGGCCTCTCCCCACAGTCCGTATCCAAGTCTAAGTTTTTTATAGGTTTCACTTTCACTTTCAAACTGCAGTCCGTATCTGAGTCTAAGTTTCTTCTTGCCTTCACTTTAAATCCTAACTTCTTTCCCACAGTCCGTATCCGAGTCCAAGCCTCCTCCAGGTTTCACTTTCGCTTTCAATCTCCTAGCTTCCCCGCCATAGTCCGCATCCGAGTCTATGAAAGCTTTCACTTTCGCTTTAAATCCTAACTTCTTTCCCACAGTCCATATCCGAGTCTATGCCTAGGCTTTCAATAGCTTCTTCCGGCACCTAGGCTCTTTGCTAGTCTCTCTCTCCGGCATTTTCCCAGTTCTTCCCGTTTCTTCCCTCCTAAGTTTCCTATCCGTCCTAGGTTTCCTATCCGAGCTAGGTTTCCTATCCGAGTCACGGCACCATTATGTCGCTCCCCCTCTTCGTGGAGGAACGACACTAAACGCTGCCTAGGCTTCATATCCGAGTCACGGCACCATTATGTCGCTCCCCCTCTTCATGGAGGAACGACACTAAACCCTGCCTAGGCTTCATATCCGAGTCACGGCACCATTATGTCGCTCCCCCTCTTCGTGGAGGAACGACACAGAGTCCTGCCTAGGCTTCATATCCGAGTCACGGCACCATTATGTCGCTCCCCCTCTTCGTGGAGGAACGACACTAAACGCTGCCTAGGCTTCATATCCGAGTCACGGCACCATTATGTCGCTCCCCCTCTTCGTGGAGGAGCAACACTAAACCCTGCGCTGTTCTTTCTTCTGCTGCTCGGCCCTCCCCGGGTTTGCTGCTGGTTCTTCCCGGGTTGGCTACTGTCCCTTCCACCTCCGTGGAAGGGCAGTTCCCCCTGGCCGCTTTCCCCACTTCCGCAGGGGAGCGGCACACCGCCGGCCGGCTCTTCTCGGGGGCTGCACAGGTGTTCCTTCAGCTAGATGTTCCCCATAGATGTTCCTCGTGCATGCCGTCTCTCTCCTCCTTTATAGTCCTCCTCCGCCAATCCCAACTCGGCTGCCCACACGCCGAGTACGCCGCTCTCCAATCAGGAGCAGGTCCTACAGTTTATTGGTTGAACTGGAGGCAGCTGTGCGGAAGCTGTTTACTTCTCTCCCAGCGCCATATTGTGGGAGAGCAGATGCATAGAATAAGTCTTAATTCCAGTAACTTAGTCTAGTCCGAGCTGCTCCCCACAGTGGTATCACAAGCAATGACTTCATCTGTTGTGCTACAATGCTGGCCTCAGTACTTCTTATTTTAAAAATACTATTTCTTTACTTACTTGAAAAGCAGAGACATCATACCCATCCTCTGGTTTACTCCCTAGGTGCCTGCAATAGCCTGACGGGCCATGCCCAGTCCAGGAACTGGAACCTCAGTAGTATATACATTGGTGTACATGAGCAGTAAGCTGGAACTGAAGAAGATCCAAACTTGAACCCACTTAGATTGGTGATTGTGGGTGACCCAAGTG